CCCAGCAGCCACCGCAGCCGGCCTCCTCCTCCTGCGAGCAGCCCTCGGCGGACACCGCTATTAAAGTGGAGGGAGGCGCGGCCACCGGCGACCAGATCCTTCCGGAGGCCGAGGTGCGCTTGGGCCAGTCCGGCTTCATGCAGCGCCAGTTCGGGGCCATGCTCCAACCCGGGGTCAACAAATTCTCCCTAAGGATGTTCGGCAGCCAGAAAGCCGTGGAACGCGAGCAGGAGAGGGTCAAGTCGGCCGGATTTTGGATTATCCACCCCTACAGTGACTTCAGGTAAGGGGCCACAGCTATGATCCTATGGGTGCCCTGCACGGTGCAGGCATGCCTCCTCCTGACCCTGCCTCCCAGCTGGAGTTAACTTTCCTTCCTTGCGCTGGAAGCTCCAAAAGAAGCAGGGCGCCTCTAGGCTCCGAGACACCCCCAGGCCCCCTCCTGCACCGCGCTGAGGGAACTTTCCTGTGTTCTGTCACCGGTCTTCTCGGGTCTGGGCTGCATTGGAGACAGAGTAAAAAGGTGTTCTGAGCCTGGCCTACCCCTGCCGGCAGCCAGGATAGGGCTCTGCCACCTTAAGCCACACATTCCTCCTCCCCCTTCAAGGCTGCAGAGTCAGGATGGCCATCCTAGAGGCAGCTCCGGGTCATTCAGCCAGCAGAGCAGGGCCATGAAGAGAGACAGACCTCTTAGCAACGGGCCAGCTCCTCGGGTACTGACAGCAGGCATTATTATCTGCTTTCTGGTGCCCTGGCAAGCTGCCGCTGGGTCCCTGGAGGACCGAGGTCACTGGGGCCTCAGGCCGGGATGAAAACCCCCTGCATCCACCGTAACCCTGAGCTCAGCTCCTCATGCTGAGTGGTGGGCCAGGAGCAGGCACCCTGGGCAGCTGGCATCCGGAGCGGCAGGGCAGAATGACCTTGCTCATAGTGATGGATGAAGATGCCTGGTGTTCTGATTGATGAGCCGCTGTCCTGTACCTCATGCTTGTCCAGTGGCCCATCCGTAACCCGGAGACCCAAGCTCCAGCATCTGCTTGGTCTCTTATGGGCCACTCGTGGGTCCCCAAACAAGGTATGACCGCCAGTCAGGGAGAGGGACCCTGCCCCCTTCCACATCACCTGAGTCAGATGCCATTAAACAGCAGATACCACTGGGAGCTTGTGGACATATTTGTGCAAAAAGAGGAATTGTTGGTTGTCTCTAGGGTTGGGATAAGGGATGCCTTTACCTAAGTGAAGGTCCTGAGGTTCCCTAGTGCCCCTCTGGGCTTTCCTGATACATGAGATTGTGATGAAGGTCTGGGAAACACTTTTCAAGCTGAGTTTAATTCTCTTGTTCTCTTTCTCTGGGCCCTGCCCCCTACTTATCTCCCTTCCTTGCCTACCTTGCTTGCCTGCCTATAAAAATGAGCATTTTGCCAACCCAGAGCCCTCTTTGCAAACTCCAGGGAAGCTGGGTTTGTAATGAGAGCAAAGCCATTTTCCATCCAATGAGAGAGATTTCTCGCACTGGGAATGACCAGTCAGACAACACTCGGTGGCTTAAAATAGGTAGTGAACAGAGCCCCTCCCCCCTTTTTTCCTTTGAGAGACTGCTCTTCCTAACCCTAATATCTCCAGGGTTCCCATTCCCAGAGGACTGGGGAGACCAGAGGGCAGGGTAAACAGACAGCCATAGTCATCAAATTGTATGAGTAAATGTGGGACCCTCCCATCACGAATGGTGGCTAGGTTCCCTGTGCCAGGTTCCTAAAGGGTAGACTTGCCTCTGGCCAGTACTGGACCCTGAGGATCCCGGGCTGAGCTAGAGGAGTGAGCAGGAGCTAAAAAACGGGTGTCCTGCATTTTTTCTCCTGTCTCTCAACTCTTCAGTGGTGGTGATAGGCAGTTCCAGTACCAACCACTTGAGATTGGTGAGGGGTCCTCCCCTCCCTGGCCCAGGTCCCTGCTGTCTTTGTTGTCAGAAAGCATCTGTTCAGGGTTCTCATCACCAAGCCCTTTGCCTGGGGAGCCTACAAGAGGTCAACCCCAGGCATGCCCATCCTCCCTCAGCAGCAAACATTGGCTGGGGACCTTCTGGATGCTGGGCCTGGTCCTTCCTGTTTCCCTTACCTTGGATGGTGAAGAGTGAGGACTGGGTCGATTTCATCAGATAGGATCCTTTTCCCCTTCCTGGTCTTACCCCATTCTTGTGTGTCTGTCTGTAGTCCCCCTGCTGCAGAGTCTCCCACTAACTGCAGGCTGCCTGGGGCATGGCTGCAGGAGAGGGTGTGGGGATAGGGAAGCAGGGATACAGCAGAATTGTTAAATGGGCAACAGGAAAAGGGTCAGAGTGGGCTTTGAATTTGGGTTTGTGCAACAAGCAACAGGGACTGGTAGCTGCAAGTGGCATGACCCCTTTGCACAACCTTGTAGCTGTCTGGAGCTGGGTGGGGTGTAAGGAAAGAAATCCAAGAAAGACCATCTGAGTGTGTCTGGAGGAGTGGTGGCCATGCCTTTCCTGCTTCTAGGCCAAAACAGCAAGTCTTATTCTCAGAAGGTCAAAGAGGCAAGAGCCTAGCTAAGTCTTCTAAGCTTAGAAAACCCACCACTCAACCCCACCTAACCTACCCTACACTGACCAGCACCCCCAGCCTCAGTCTCTAGAGTTTTAGCCACTGGCCTTGGGCCTCTGTGTAGCCAGTTGCCATTGCCCACCTTAGGCTTCACAAGAGCTTCTGCAAGCATTGCTCAGGCTAGTCAAGGATTTATTCATCATTTTGACGGGCAGGAAGCATTGATCCAGCAGAATTGGTTTAATAAAGAATTGCCAGCAAACCATGATAGATTGAGTTTGCGGTTTGGAGTTCAGGGCTGGCTGTGATGGACTGCTTCCGGCATCTCCCCTTGCTGGGGAAGGAAGGCTGGGTGCCTTTCCCAGGAGAAGGGTGGGCTGTGCTTTGAGGGACCAGCATAACCTGGGCCATGGCTAATAATAGGCTTTTCTGGGCTGCCTCTGCTTCTCATTACTCTACCTGCCCCTGATCCCACCCCCCAGTAGAAAAGAGACCATGCCCTGGCTACCCCCATGGCTCCTCCAGGCTCCCTGGGCTTTTCTGGCTTCCCCTTCCCTCCAACTCCCCATCTGCCTTTTGAAACTTGTATTTGTGGTGTGTTAAGAGAAGAGGCCAGACCCTCAGGACATGGCTCCCCGGGCTCCTCCCCAAGGCTGGCTGTGCTCTTAGGTCCTGGATGGGTCCTTCCTTCCACACAAGCTGTGTCCTGGAGAACCTGGAACAACAACAACAACAACAAAAACAGTATCTGGATAATCTTGTTTTTCTAAGAGGAGAGAAAAGAAATGGAACCTCAAGTGCAGATGTAGCTGGTTGTGTTCCCGGAAGCTGGTCAGGCTCAGGGAGTCAGCCTGGGTGTGTGTATCTAGGTGTCTGTCTGAGCGGGTGTCTGGGGGCTGTGTGGGTGGATGTGGAAGCTGGTGGGGAAGTCCCTATGTGGAATGTCAGTTCCGGAATTGCTGCTGCACCCCCAAAGCTGGCTCAGCGTTAATAATGGAGGCAGGCAGAAGCTTGGCCTTTCTCATCCCCCTGTCCCTACCCTCTCCTAGACTGAGCCTCCTGAAGCCATGAGGAAGGGAAGGCAAGGGTGCTTAAAGTGTCCTTTCCTTGGGGCAGAAAGAGCTGGGCTCCGAAATCTTGGAAACTGGGCCAGTGGCCTAGCAGGTCCCAGGGGTGTCCTGAGCTGACTTCCTTCTGCCTGCTGGTCACTGGCACCCCGTCACTGCCATTACTCACCTCCTGTCACCTCCCCAACCCTGACTGCTGTAGAGCCCTGCATGGGTTATGAGCCTTCTTTGAGCCCCAGTTTGCCCATTTAGAAAATGGGAATCTTGTTGCCTGTTGCCACGTCAAGCACAAATTGTACAACTATGGTCGCCCCGCCGACAGCTCTGCAGTGAGCTGAGAGAGGAGCAGTGATGCTGTTGTGAACCACACCTCCTCTGCCCTCACAACTTCCTTTCCTTGGTTTTGGGAAGATCACATGGACCTCTGTCCTTGGCTCAGGCAGGGGTTCTGAACCTTCTTGGGGTCAGAGATTTCACTCCATCCAGAAGGATACCCAGGTATCCAGACACATAGAGTGTGGCACTTGATTTCTGGTGTCTGTGGCCTTCTAGGTTGAGGACCATCTGGGGGCTCAAGGTTGTGAACCCCTCTCTAGGCCGTCCCAGAAGAGAGCCTGGGCCTGGTGAGAGGCAGGCACCCACCTTCTCTGGAGCCTGGCAATGGGGGTCTCTTTGCAGTCTGGAGCGTGGGCCTCCCATTGCCAGCAGGATGGAAACAAAAACAGGGCTCAGAGTTGGATGCCTGAGGGAGGAAAGGGGTTCTGCCTGGGCACTGGTTTCTTTTCTGTTTCCTCAGTCCTACCGCCTCCCACCTCTCTCCCTTTGAGTCCTGGGAAGGACTGTTCCGGCAGGAGGTGGAAAGGAGGAAGAGGCAGCAGCCTGACTCTGGGTCTGGGGGTTCTGAGGCCCCTTCCTTCCTGGGCTTTCCTGGGGCCATTTCCCAGGAATGTTGTTAAGACTCTCAGTGTGCAAAGCCAGGCGGAAAGGAGCCGCAGGCTGTGCTAGAGGGGGAAGGGTGCCTAGTTGCAGAGGGGAATTCCAAGGTGAGCTGCCTGGGCTGTGCTTTCAGCTGGCACAGTGGGCAGCATGGCTGTCTCTGGGGATGAGATGTGTCCCACCTGACAAGGCAGGGGCTGCTGGAGCTCAGGACCGAGATGCTCCTAGGATGCTGGGTGCACAGAAACCCGATAGAGGCAGAGAGCCAGGACCCCCATACTGCCTGGCTAGAGAGACCTTGGCTCCAGGTTCTCCCTGCTGCAAGGCTCAAGCTCCTGGTCTGGTGGCTACATGATAAGGCTGGGGGTTACCTTCGCCCCTGCTTGGCCCTGCCACACCAGTTCCCTTAGCTGCTGTGAGCTTTGAGGCTTTTTGGCTGCCAGGTAGCCGCCTGCCTCACACAGGGAGCTTCCAACTGTGCTGACCTTTCTCCCTGTCCATCCACCCTCCTCTCCCATGCTTTAGGGCCCACTGTCCCCAGGGCCTTGTGGGATGCCCTCTCAGGCCACCCTGGCTGCCATCCATCTCTCCCTGGCTGACCACCCTGTGGCATTTGGACGGAGCTCTGTGTTTGTTACAATGCAGCTTCTCCTGCTGTAATGTCATCCGACTCACCTGGAGATCTTGTTCAATACAGATTCTGAATCAGTAGGTCTGGATGG